TCTAACAGGGGAATTTATATCTCTACGAGCACACATCAAGAAGATGAAAAAATCACAAGTGGAGAGTCTAACAAATCACCTAAGGGAGCTGGAAAGAGAAGACCACCAAAACCCCAACTTTAGCAGAAGAGTCCAAATCACCTAAATAACATCATAGACTCCATCTGTTAAAAAAAAAGGCCAGGTGTAGTGGCTCATGACTGTAATCCCAGCACTTTGGGAGACTGAGGCAAGTGGATTGCCTGAGCCCAGGGTTTGAGACCAGCCTGGGCAACTTGTTTAGACCTCGTCTCTACAAAATATAAATAAAATAAATAAATGAGATTAGCTGGGCATGGTGGCACGCGCCTGTAGTTTCAATTACTTGGAAGGCTGAGGTGGAAGGATCACCTGAGCCCAGCAGGTGAAGGCTGCGGTGGCTGTGAGCATGCCGCTGCACTCTAGCCTGGGCACTCTAACCTGGGTGACAGAGTGAGACTCAAAAAAATAAATAAAGAAAGAAACTGGATTTATGGCTACCTATGGAATCGATCCCCGGGGGTAGACCTCGGGCTCTGCATTTTAATGCATGTCTCAGGTGGTTTAGTGCAGTTTGAAGCTTGAGTTTCACAAGAAAAGGTTATACAGGAGGAGGAGAAGACACATGTCTGCTTTATAACTTTGCTTAGGAGGCATAGTGCCATGTATGTGAGACAGCTAGAGGACAGCATCTCATTCCATGCAAACCAGTTGTGATGCTTTGGCTGCAGAAAAGCCAACCTGCAAAGGCTTAAATGCTGAGGAAATTTAGTTTCATGTAATGCACTTTGAGAGGTGGGACCGGCTTGAGATGGGTAGACTCAGTGAAGACCATCGAAGATTACTTTTCTTTCCCTCCAAATCCGCTGTACCCTCACAGCCTCCTACCGCTGGTTCCCCCTCCTGGATTGTAAGAAGGTTGCCAGCAGCAACTAGTGCTTCATGTTTTCTTGTTCATATCCAGTGGGAGACAAAACAATGACAAGGTGTACTGTTGCTCTCCAGAGTGAGAAAGAATTCCTCTCGAAACCCCAACAAGCCTCTGTGTCTCTCAGCAAGAAGTGAATCACATGGCCATTTCTGAACCAATCACTGACAAGAGGGTGGTGATACCCTTTCAACCGGTTAATACTAGAATCATAGTTGTACTTCCTCTGTTTGCATTGCTTCAAAGAAACAGGGTCAAATGGGTGTTGAGGAAGTAAGTCACTGCCAGTTCACTGCCCTCAACAGTTAGCACCTTGGCCATCTACATACAGCCACTTGCCTAGCCCCTCGGCTCACTTCCCTTCACTGCAGATCCCTGTCCTTTGGGGGCAGCCTGCAGGTGAAACCAGACTTTTGATAAGACCACACAGGAGTCACAAGTTTATCGCTTTGCTTCTCTAGAAGACTGTTCTAGCTAAAGCATTTCCTGACTCTTTGAGAAGTCACATGGCCTGTTACTTTCATAGCCACAATGGTTACACATTAATTCACTGTCTATAAATAAATCATTGGGTGCATCATGGAATTTATTATCTTCTATGAAAGTTGAGGGTGGCTGGGCTCGTTGGCTCAACCTGTAATCCCAGCGCTTTGGAAGGCTGAGGTGAGTGGATTGCCTGAGCCTGCAGGTTCGAGACTCGCCTGGGCAACTTGGCGAGAACTCATCTCCACAATAAATAAAAAAAAATTAGCCAGGCGTGGTAGCGTGCGCCTGTAGTCCCAGCTACTTGTAAGGCTGAGGCGGAAGGATTGCCGGAACCCAGCGGATTGAGGCTGTGGTGGCTGTGGGCATGCCACTGCACTCCAATCTGGGCAACAGAGTGAGACTACAACTCAAATAAAAAAAAAAAGAAAGTTGAGAGCAACAATTCTCAATAAGGAAACTTACTTTTTCTGCCCAATAGTATAGGCATGTGTCATGACCATGTTTCAGTCAATGCCAGACCACATATACGGCGGTGATCCTGCAAGATTATAATGGGGCATATATAGAAACCTAATGCATTGCACTTGATGTTGGCATTGCAGATCAAGTAGCGAAAATGACTGATATTTAGCAATGGTACCAGGATGTTTCATTTTCCATATTAAAAAGACATATGAAATAAAAATATATACCATCTAGGTTTGATTAAGTGTACTCTCTGACACTGGCATAATGACGAATCTGCCTAAGGAAGCTTTTCAAATCAGAACATATCTGTTGTTATGCACCATATGACTATTTAGAAATGTACTTAGGATCACATCTACCCTGAACATGCATATTCATTAGGTAATAGTTTATATTTGGAGAATACTTGCATAAGATCTCATGGTTTCATGGCTCCTTAGTGACAGAACCAGAATCCAATCTAAGGGCACATGACTCTGCGGGGGCCCGCCCCGCAAGGTTCATGGGAAGTGTTGAAGGAGAGACGGATAGGCGAACGACCAAGATTATATACCGGACACCTGCTTCTTGAACAGATGACAATTTAATGCTAGTTAACACAGAGATTTATACCATTCATGAAGGGGCAAGACAAAGAAAATTCTTTCACATACATATTTTTAAAAGTTACCAACTAGTGGTCTTAGTAGCGAACAAACCAAGATTCCCATAGGCTTTAGTAGCAAACAAACCAAGATTCCCATAGGCTTTAGTAGCAAACAAACCAAGAT